ACTTTATAATAAATAGAAATACTTTTTTAGTATCACTTTCTAAATGGTAATAATTAAGCTTAAATTATTACAATCATGTTTGTAAAAAATTATAGATAAAATTAAAATGCATTAACATTTTAATAAAATTAAGTATTAATTTTGAACAAATTTGTTAAAGGCATAATTGTATTAACATTAAGATTTTTAATGGAAGCAAGGCTTTGAAATTAAGGTCAGTTGGTGAAGTTTTATACTTATTCAAAAAACATGACATTAGGCTTTTAATGAAAGACTTCTATCTGTTAATTCAAAGGAAATTATTTGAAGGTAAGTTAAAAACTTATGCATTTACCATCTATTATTTCAAACAATAGCAGACTGTTGACAAACACTAAGTGCAGATAAGAATAAAAGATTAGTGGACGTTGTAATGCAAGCTTATGAACAAATTTTGAATTCCTTGTAGTAGCAAAATGAAGTTCATTGCGATGTTGAATTCTTTAATTTACTGAAAATGTCATTTTTTAGAAGGAGAGAATATAATATTTTTGAAACATAAAGAACAGCTGTTCTGAGTTCTTCATAGAATATTTCACAAATGTCTTTTACAGTAATAATATGATCATATCAACATGCAACATGTTTTTACTTATATAAGTTAAACTAAAGCAACATGTGTCATTTTATCTAAAATTACTAAAAAGAAGTTCTAGACATATTTTAAATATATATAGTTAAATCTAAAGCAACATGTGTCTATTTTAGCTAAAATTACTAAAAAGAAAGTTCTAGTGCATATCTTAATAATTGACATTAAAACATGCAAATAAAGCATATCGTTTTTTCTTTTTCCTCAGCTATTTTACAGGCCAAATATAAAATTCCAGATGCCATTTCATTATTTTATATAAAGGATACACATGTAATTTAATGTAAGGAGTAGGATATCAATTTGAACTTAATTATCAAATTAAGCTCAAATCGATTATTAATTAAAATGATATATATATACATACAGATATCATTGTTTTACTCAAAACATATTGATTTCAATGTATTTTATTATAATAAGCATCATTTTAGACAGAAATCTATTACTTTTATAGACATATCCTTTAGTATTTCATCTATGAAAAATATATTCTACACACATATAATTACTTAATGAAATATTAGAAGGAAATAATCTAATATTCAGATACAACCATTAGAATACAACCATTAGAATTTTACGTAAGAAAAGTATCTTCTACTCACATAAAAACTTGCTGAATAATACAACAAATAACCTGTACGGTTACAGATATATCTGTTGAGATTTTACATGAGAAAATATGTTCTTTTTACATAATTATTTGCTGTAATATTACTAGCAAATAATCTATACCATTACAGATATATCGTTTGGGATTTTTACATGAGAAAACATGTTCTTTTTACATAATTATTTCCTGTAATATTACACGCAAATAATCTGTAACCATTACAGATATATCGTTTGGAAATTTACATGAGAAAAATATGCTGTGATATTACAAGAAAAAGATCTGTAACCATTACAGGCAAAACTCTTGTAATGTTATAAAGAAAACACTTGTTTCTGTTACTCAAATAACCCATGGCATCCCAGTTTCCATGAGTTTTCTTAGTAACCTTACAGATTTTTTTTTACAGTGATGAAATATATCACAGTGAAACTTGAAATGGTATATACAAGCAGATATAAAATGTCTTCTTGCATTTCGTGCTATGACATACACAATCACCATGTGTCACTTGGTTCTAGACAAAGTAGCTATGTCTACAGCGGCGAACCTGTTTTGGTTTTTGGAACTAAGTAAAGTTAAATCTATCACTGTGTTTAAACGTAAATTTTAAGCAAACTACAAGAAGTCACTTTCAGGCAGAAAATATATGCTACCTCACTGGAGAGCAAGCTCAACGTGCTCACAGCACTTTCATCGAAGTCTAAGTAAGTCAAAGGAAGCAAAATAAAGCGAGTATTAAACTTCAGATACCGCAGTTTACAATTTACCAAAATTTTAAGCGGCTAAAATTTATTCTTAACTAATTTCAGAACATTGAAAAAAGGACTGAAAACTAAATATTATGTTCTATGTACTCAAACCATAAAATTCAGTTCAACAGCAATATCCCAAAATAATTTTAAAATGCGAATATCTTTATAATTTTCGATACACAGTCTCACGCGCTGGAGATAAAAGTCTTTTTTTCCTGTACAGTGTTGCCATTGTTCGCTTTAAAATCATTGAGTTCCTTAATCAAAAATTCATAAATGCTTTACAAAATATGAAACAGATAAACAAATTCCAGATTCCAAATTCGGGCTTGCAGACGCCCATATTCGGGTGGAGACGTATGTTATTCGAAATTTGATGGCTCTAGGTGTTTTATCACAATGCGAGAAACTTACATACATTCATGCAGATTCTTCATTATTTAATTTTTCTAAATATAACACAGAGCGCTAATATTTTTGGTGGCAACAATTTAAAAAGTGATTCGTCGCTTATAGTGAATCGACGCAAAATGCCAAAACGAAATTAATAGCCTTTCTACGCAAATTGGCCCTTTGGGCTAAAATAAATGCCTCAAAAGTGGACATTTTGTTAAATAAGTCTCGCGACAAACAATGATTGGTTGCGTACCTACATTGGTAAAGTAAAACTTCATATTTCCTTGCATACACGCATTTAAGTGTCACTGGGGCACTTTTCACTGCGTTATTTTTTAATAAATTATAAAAACTGCATAATTCTTTTGCAACAACCTTGTATGTTTGCATGTTTGAGGTAAGAAATGCTTGTCAAGGTCTCATCCTTTAAATAATTTGTTCTTAAAAGATTATGATTCTAGACTCAAGTAAACTATTGTTGTTTGAAAATAAAGTAAGTGTCTATTATCCCGAAAATTGTCATTAACGTCTTAATGAAACTTAGCTCGATTTAAGAACAGTTTAGCTAACGGACTCCTTCCTCTTCTTTGTATTCTCCTTCTCGAGAGACTAGGTAATGCATTAACCCTAATTGTTTCCTTACCTCTTAATTATGGCAAGGAAATTAGTACTTTACTAAGAGTACTGGCCTACCAAGGATGTTTTTTCTATTAAAATAAAATACTTTTTTTATGATCGCACATTGATGTAATTACTAGCATATTCCTCTTAAAATACTTGCTTCCTTAGGCTCATGCACGTGTTGTTGCTGGTTTACAAACTAGTTGTTTTAAGCGTTGATTCGAAAAGTGAAATTTTAAATCTAATTTGTTTAATGAAGAAGATATTTCAATCTGGTATGATTAGAATGGTTAATTAATTGTTACAAAACATTCGAGGATTACGTTCTTGAAAAGTAGGTTTTTAAAGATAACCTAGAGGTAGAATCCAACTCTTAAGCGGGATTTTAGTTTCAATTTTTTAATTTATCTACTCGAGTAGTAATTGAGATAATAGAATGATTTCACCAAATCTCCAAATTGATTAGTTTAAATTAAACTTCTGTAAATTTTCCCACATTACAGCGTTTGAAGTTTAATTTAGGATAAAAAATTTCATATTATAAAATTTTTTCTTAAATATACCTAAAACAAAATTAATAAACCTATTATAACCATAGAAACTCTTAAGAAAATATCTGATGTGGATACCACATGATTTAATTGTAAATCTTATTAAATTATACACATTTTTTGCCCCATTTCATTTAAACATATTCCCTCGAATTTCATTAGAGATATATTTCTCATTTAATTAATTCAGCTCTCGCGGCAAGGCAAAATTACATGAAAATTCAAAACATTACCATTAAAAATTGAAAAATACAGAAAGACTTAAAAACTGTTTAAAAACAAATTTTACAATTAAAACCAGATTTTCTACGCAAGAACAAGTAATTCAGCCAGCTGGCGGGAACACAAAATTTTCGGTTCACAAAATTGTTATTTTGGTTAATTTTTAAATTCACAAAGTTAATTTTTGGTCCCACTGGGTAAATTTGGTACACCACTGACTAATTCACTACTCAAGAGTTTCAAATGTAAACATGGTGGCCTCGCTATGCTTAGTAACACTTAAATTTTTATATTGTCGATAATTCTACGACTATAGCAGGCAGATTAACAAAATTCTTAATAACCTTAAGAGGAATATAAGAACAACATAATTCAATCACTTTTAAAGCAAAAAATGGACAGTTTATCAACATGTAAAAATAAAATTAAAAAAAACTCAGCTTCCCGAGCTACATGTTATCACAAACCCATATGCACAATTTTAAAGTTGTACTGTTATTTGTTTTTGAGTCATGCCAGATACATACGTATGTCACGGGAAAATTTCTGAATCCATTTTAAATCCATTTTACAATCTGTTTTTGAAAAAAGAGTCCTTTTTTCTGTCCGTAGGTACAGATATCAGGCAAAAATATCGTATAAATGTACTATTCGAGAGATGTCAAAATGGATATTTTCGTTGAAATATTATACTTGAATTTTTTCGTAATTACACTACTTCCTTTACTTCGTACAAGGAAGCAAAAATAATTCCACTTAAATCTGTATAAGTACAGATATTCAGAGCATTGTTTCTTTTAGTGAATAAAACTGTCCTTGCTGCGGAAGTTTAAATTGCCCAGGAGTCTTCCACATGCCTCTGTGATGAGTGAATGATGTAAAGCCGGTGAATGCTATTATAAAAGACAAAATAAATCAAATAATTATTAATGAAACCAAAAAAAAAACTCACAAGGCTAAAAAACTAAAAAAAATTTCTCACGAGGCTAAAAAATAAAAAAAAATAAAAAAAAATTGTCACAAGGCAAGTGTAATCTAAAGAAAAGCTTATTTTCAAGAATTAAAATAAACTGAATACTTTCCTAAACAATTATTAAAAAGCAATTTATGTTTTGAAAATGTCAATTTCATTTAACTTTGTATTAATGTTGCATTACTTTGTGAGTTTTTAATTGAGCTGTATTACATTCTTTGTATTTCATATATAGGCGAATCATATATTCTCAGAGAGTATTGCTATAGGCGCTCAAAGAGGAATGGAAGAATGCCAGCATCAGTTCCAGTGGGAGCGATGGGATTGCCCAAAATCTAGTTTTAACTTATTTTCCAAATCTACAGCTCATCCAGGTAAGATACATCGAATGACACTTTGCGTGTGAAAATACAAGTTTTATATTAATTTTGATTTCCAGTCTAAAAATTAAAATTTCTACCTACATTTTAAAGTTATTCTCATATCTGGGATTCCGGTGGCTAAAGTGATTGATAGAAAAATGTTATTAGCTTAGCCAATCAAATATTGAAAGTAATTAAGAGATTAATTTAGACTTGCTAATTTTGTTTATCGTTGAAATTCTGTGATTTTAAACATACTCATTTTAATTTTCTGAGTACTTTCAACTAATCTATTTTATCTTATGTGCAAAAACTGAGCAATATTTGTTTATAAAATTATATTATGGAATATTCATATGAAAGTATGCTACGAATTTTAAATTTAGACTTTTCTGGAAACACCATTTCCTAAAATAAAACATTTTAAAGGGACATAATTTATAATAATACCATCGTTCGTTCAGAAACATGCATAATTCTCAAGTTGAACAGATGCATTTTCATTTCTATGAAAGAATTTTAAGAACGTCGAAAATGTTGTCTGTATAACGAACTATTTTTTTAACTTAGTTAGTTTAAAAGTTGAATGAAAGGAATTATAAAACGATCTCCATTTCCTGTTCCCATGAACTTTAAAATTGTTAATGACCCAGGTATATTGAGTAGTATTATAATTTTAGAATAGCAATCAAAACGTCTTTCATACTTTCATAATGTGCTTGAATTTCTTTATTTTCAATTGCAGCTACTCGAGAAATGGCATTCCTCCATGCTATCGTTAGTGCGGCTATCGTCATCACTCTCACACGGAACTGCAGCTTGGGACATTTTGATATATGCGGCTGTGACGATAGTAAAATAGGTGCTGTTGGTAAGACTCCTCATATCATTCTATGAATATTTCTATCAAATTTTTTGAAATTTTCAGTGAATGTTACTCATGGAATTGAAATTTGAAAACCTTCGTCGAACTCATAGATTTGAAAACCTTCGTCGTGCAAGTTTTCTCAAGTGCATTTGAGAAAACTTGCACGACGAAGGTTTTCAAATCTATGAGTTCGACGAAGGTTTTCAAATTTCAATTTGAGAAAACTTGCACGACGAAGGTTCAAACACTCCAGAAGTCTGCGTAATTTTTGAAATTTCGCTTTACCAGTATTGCTGCAATGTGACTGTTTTCCTTCAGTATTAAAACTGTATTTTTGGAAAATCGTATCTTCTTCCCGAGTAGAGGGACAATATTGCCGACTTCGTACAGCAAATTCTGATCTGAAAACAATTATGCGTTCTCAGACATCCGTCACTCTTAGACTTCCCTTCTTGGACTTAATATTTTTTTATCCAAAACTAAAACAGCCTCAAAAAAATTTACAAACTATTTTTACAAAACATATAATAAAGCGAATTCGAAATTCAAAGTTACGGCTTCGAGTTGCTTATATTTATTTGACTGGAAATATTTTCAAATTTATTCAAAATTTGATGGCTCTAGGTACAAATTTTTTCGCAGTCCGAGAAACATACGTACATTGATGCAGTTTGTTCATTATTTAATTTATATAAATATAATACGGGTAGATAATATTTGGTGCGCACAATTTGAAAAATGATTTAACATTTTATTGATTTGACCCAAAATGAGCTTTGGAGACCTTCTGGGCTAACGCTTCTTTGGGCTAATAACGGAAGACATATGTATATAGAACTGAATTCGCATGGTTTCACTTGTTTATAATTTGTTGATTACTTATGGTTAGCAACATAATTATTTCTAATCAGTGTTTGTTCACTCTTTTGGAATAATTATGCATGTTCCTTATGTCAGTATGAACTAATTAACAAGAAGAAAAAAAAAAAAGAAATTTAACGTTTGGAAAAAATGTCTAAAATTGGACAAAAATCTGAAAACCATTCTGGTGCAGCAAAATTGCTTCACACTGAGTTTACACTATACAAATGGCATTCATTTGATGGGACAATCAATCCGCTGATTGCAAATGAAATGTGTAGCGCAATGAAGGTGTAGTAGAGAAATGATAAAAAAATAATATACTTTACAATAGTTACACATGCTGATTTGAATAAAAATATCAGATTCCAAATATCAAAAAATTGCAGTTAGCGAGCCAAATGCAAATTAACTTCCTAGAAACTTCAATATAGCTCAATTTGCTATGTGTAGCTTATGGGGACATTTTGAGTATACCGAATCCGTTGTGAGAAAACCTGGCTGAGGTCGTCCAAGAGCCCCGACGATTAATGAAGATTGATATTGATCAATTTCACCGAGACTTAAAATTAGTGCAACAGCTTTTCCAGCTCTCTCGTGACCTTCATGCTTCCATAAAAAGCCGAATTTTAAGGATTAGTGTTTCTAGAAGTCTGCATAAGAAAGGTTAATTGCCTAACTGACTGTCTTCTTGGTAATAGACCTTTCTTAGACTTCTTCATTTTTTTTTTCTTCAGGTGGAAATAGCATCCCGCTCATATTTACGCAGAGAGAGACCGCTTAGCATGACACAGAAAACATCGATTTTACATAAAGCATCAATGGAAGATTTTTCTCTTCCAGATGACATCGAGTTTACATAAAGCATCAATGAAGATTTTTCTCTTCCAGATGAAGTCCAGTCAGCCTAATCACTGATCCTCGAGTACCATCACCTGAAAAATATCAAGGATCCCGCTATCTGCCCTGTAACGTCCAAGGGCAAAAAACCAGCATGGAAGGAGATATTTGACGATTTTCGCAGGAATCATTTTGGACGGGCGCACCGAACTTCTTTTAGTTGACACAGGCAGTGCGAGGTATTGGAAGAGGTATTGCAGCCTTATGTCCGTTTTTTTTTTTTTTTTTTTTTTTTTTTTGTGGGTATATAGTTTACTTTCAGTTAATTTTTATTGACAACAGCACTCCTCCACTCAGTGTTTCTTTAGTGGAGGAATTTGTGGAAACTGAAGATATTAATCAGATGGATTGACAAGGTCACAAGACCTAAAGAACATGTCTGTCGTGAAAGGGCAAATGCATTAAAGTGGGTAGACACCCTGCTTCGCCCGATAAGTCTCCTACCTCATTCCATAATCCGCACGTTGACGGTTGCTCACTTTAATTGTCTTATATTAAAATTCACAAAAAATGAAAAAAAAAAAATTTGAAAAGTTTCAGGTTTTAAATTACATCCAAAAGAGCGTTTTTTTTTAACATTTTGTATGTTACATTTATTTATTAAATATCACGTTCTTCTCACTTAAACCATAAATTCCGTTCAACAGCAATATCGCAAAATAATTTTAAACTGAGCATACCTTTAGAATTTCCGATATACATTTCTGTGCGCTGGAGGTAAAAAGGTTCCCCTCCCTAGAGTGTTGCCATTGCTCGCTTTTAAATCGTTGAGTTTGTTAATCTAAAATTCGTTAACGTTTTACAAAATATGAAATCGATCATAAAATAAATACCAAATATCAAATTTGGGCTTCCACATGCCCATATTCGCAGTAGGATTACGTCATTCAAAATTCGATAGCTCTATGTACCGTTGTTTTATCACAATGCGAGAAATATACATGCATTTATGCAGATTTTTCATTATTTAATTTCTTCAAATATAATGCAGGACTCTAACATTTGGTGGCAACAGTTTGAAAAGTGAAACGGACATTTACAGTGAACCAACGCATAATCGGAAAACAAAAACAATAGTCATTCAGGACAAAGTCCCTTTAGACTAAAAATTTAAAAAACGGACATAAGGCTGCAATACCTCTTCCTATACCTCGCACTACCTGTGTCAACTAAAAGAAGTTCGGTGCGCCCGTCCAAAATGATTCCTGCGAAAATCGTCAAATATCTCCTTCCATGCTGGTTTTTTGCCCTTGGACGTTACAGGGCAGATAGCGGGATCCTTGATATTTTTCAGGTGATGGTACTTCGAGGATCAGTGATTAGGCTGACTGGACTTCATCTGGAAGAGAAAAATCTTCCATTGATGCTTTATGTCATCTATTAAAATAAAAATTTAAAATATAAAATATCTTTTTATTCACATAAGCCTAATAACTTATTATAACATTAATTAGCCCAGAAGGCCTATTAATTAGAAGCCAGAAGCCTTTAATAAAACCATTTAATTGTTAGCCAGAAGGGCTATTAATTTCGTTCTGGCATTTTGCGTCGATTCAGTTTCTGCGTTCATTCACTTTTCTAACTGATGCCACCGACTATTATAGCCCTGTATTATCATTAAAGAAATTGAATAATGAAGAATTTACATGAATGTATGTACGTTTCTCGCACTGTGAAAAAACAACGGTACCTAGAGGCATCACATTTTGAGTAAAGTAGCTCTCCACTCGAATATGGACATCTGGAAGCCCAAATTTGAAATTTGTTGTATTATCTATTTCATATTTTATAAAACTTTAAACGAACTTTTGATGAACAAACTCAACGATTTTAAAGCGATCTGTAGGAAAAAAATATTTTTAATCTCCAACGCGCGAGACTGTGTATCGGAAATTCTAAGGATATGCTCTTTTAAATAATTTGTTCTTTACTGAGATACGTAATAGGTACTTCAGTACAAACTATCTGATAATTATGAACATTACAGAGTTATTATAGTTAATAAATGGTTAGAAACACCTTTTTCTTAAATATCAGCTTCCTGTTATTTTCATATATATTGTTACGAATTTTGTATTTAGTTAGATATTTTTAGTAGAATTATAATTAAAATTGTATTTCCTCGTGCAATGCAGCACGAGACAAATTTTAAGAGAGAGCTATGCTGGAAAAGCAAAAATACAGGGGCATGTGCATTTAACATTTAATAAACGAGTATCTCTTTAATTTGTATTGAAATTGAATAAATGGAATTGAATACTGTGTTAGCTATAACCGTAATTTACATCCTCCTATTGCTTTCCAGAAATCTTGAGAAGCAGAAAATGCTAAACTATCTCGCGCGGCTGATTGAAAGCTACAAAATGCTAGAGAGAGTACATCTCAGTTCAGTTGTTTAGTTAGCTGCTGTTGTTATTGTTGTGAATTCAGCGAGAGATCAGATTAGCTTTCTCTTTTCATTGCGTTCTATCTTAACGTTTTTAGTAGTTTAAAGTCTAACTACTGATTGTTACTGCGTGATATTGTGCGTGACCAGGTCTCAACATATTTGACTGAATTATCTAAATTCCAGCAAAGCATGCAAGGAATATCTCGCCTGAAAGGAAGGCATGCTTTCATAGAGGATGTTCTAACGAAAACTAGCACACACTTTCAAGTTACCCACACAACCATCTATTTCCAGCTATTTACCGAGATGTCAGTTCGGGAGAAAATACCAATCATTCAGCCGCTGGTGGTCTGGCGACAAACTACAAACTGGATATTTGACATATTAAACTTATCATACTATGGTATTTTTTTGCCAGATCGTTACGATGATAAGGGACTTTGTAATAATAATATATTTAAGCATAAACCTAATAAATTTAGAAAAATTCATAAAAAGAAACTAATTTCAAAATTGACCAAAAAAGGGGGGATAAAAAATGGGAATTTTATCATAATTTTAAAATATCATTAACATGCTCAAAGCACTTTTAAGCACTTTTTTTCGGGGTAGGGAAGTGCAGACTTCAAACTATTTATGATTTATTATTTAAAAAGAGTATAAACACTTATTAAACATAAGGCCCAGCGAACTGTATAAAAAGTTATATTTCATAATTTTTACAAAAATGGATTTTTAAATTGCCAAAATATGAATATGTGTATTAAAACCTTTTTTTGTAATTGGAAACATTTATGATTTCAACCAACGGTTGTGAAAATAAAGGTCACAAAGGTTTTTTTATAAGCACCCGTATATTACACAATGGATAATAAATTACGATTTTTAATAAAGTTAAAAATATTTTTAGGTCATGAAGGATGGACATGGGGTGGCTGCAGTGACAATGTGATGATTGGAAACAAGTGGGCTAAGCATTTTCTCGACGCTAAAGAACTAGGAAGAGATGCTACAGCTTTAATAAATTTACACAACAATAAAGTAGGACGAACAGTAAGTTCATATTTTTTTTTTTTTTTTTTTTTACTAAACAGTTTTTATATTTTTCTTGAAAAACAGTGTCTCAATGACGTTATTGAAATTTTCTTACGAAATTTCCTATTCCATATTTTCACCCAACTGCCAACAATCACTTGTCATTATCTAAGAATTCCAAGTATTCCGGTTTATGCCATCAAACCGGAATACTTATTAGTATTCCGGAACAAGTATTATTTAAGAACAAGTATATTCCAGTTTGTTAATGTTGCTTTTAATCCCGTTACTCTTACAATTTAGCCAAGCCGAAAATTATTCGCGAAGGGAAAAAATCTGAAAAAAATTTTGCTTTTACAGAATAAAAAAAATAAAAACAAGAAGCTTTGAAATTTTTATATTACGCACAAAGGGGGTCTTTCTTTTTATTCGAGAGCCCTTGGGCTAAAAATTAAAAAAAAAAAAATACAATCTAAAAATACAATCTAAAAACAACATATCTTTAGAATTTCTGAAAAACAGTCTCGCGTGCTAGACATAAAAATATTTTATTCCGTGCAGTGTGTTGTCACTGCTCACTTTGAAATCGTTGAGTTTCTTAATCAAAAATTAAAGTTAAACAAAATATAAAATAAATAATAAAACAAATTCGAAATTCAAGGTTCAGGCTTCCAGGTGCCCATATTCGGGTGGAGACGCACGTGATTCAAAATTTGATGGGATCATCGTTTTTTCACAATGCGAGAAACATACATACATTCATGCAGATTTTTCATTATTTAATTTCTTTAAATGTAATACATTTCAATAATATTTGGGGGCAACAATCTGAAAGTGATACAGCCGTTTATAGTGATTCGACGCAAAATACCGTTTCGAGACTAATAGTCCTTGTTTAACACCTGTTGGGTTAAAAGGGAAGCCGACATTATTCTTTACATTGTACAATAACTGCAGGAAAGTAAGTAATTTTATAAAGACACATAGTTTTACAGCGATCTTGCAAATATGCTTTGAGTACATGCAAAAGAGCTGTGTTAAAGGCAAATGTATGCACACTGAAGTGACAAAAGTCATGGGAGGATAGCAATATGCAAATATACAGATGGCAGTAGTATCGCGTAGAAAATGTATAAATGCGAAGTGCTTTGGCAGGGCTTTCATTTGTGTTCAAGTTATTCATGTGAAGAGGCTTTGACGTGATTATGGCCGCACGACGAGAATTAACAGACTTTGAACGCGGAATGGTAGTTGGAGCTAGACGCATGGGTCATTCCATTTCGGATATCGTTAGGGAATTCAACGTTCCTAGATCCACTGTGTCAAGAGTGTGCCAAGAGTATCTAATTTCAGGCATATCATCCCACCACGGACAGCGCAGTGCCGACCACCTGCACTTAAGAACTGAGACCAGCGATGACTGCGTAGAGTTGTCAATGTTCACAGACAAGCAACACTGCGTCAAATAACCGCAGAAATCAATGTGGGACGTACGAGGGACGTGTCCGATAGGACAGTGCGGAGAAATTTGTCTTCCTTGGGCTATGCCAGCAGAAGACCGACTCGAGTGCCTTTACTGACAGCACGACATCGCCTGCAGCGACTCTCGTGGGTTCGTGAGCATATCGGTTGGTCCTTAAACGAATGGAAAACCGTGGCTTGGTCAGATGAGTCACGATTTCAGTTGGTAAGAGCTGATGGTAGGGTTCGAGTGTGGCGCAGACCCCACGAAGCCATGGACCCAAGTTGTCAACAAGGCACTGTTCAAGCTGGTGGTGGTTCCGTAATGGTCTGAGCTGTTTTTACATGGCATGGACTCGGTCTTTTGGTGCAACTGAACCGATCATTGACTGGAAATGGACACCTTCAGCTACTTGGAGATCACTTACAGCCATTCATGGACTTCACGTACTCAAACAACGATGGAATTTTTATGGATGACAATGCACCATGTCATCGGGCCACAATTGTTCGCGATTGGTTAGAACATTCTGGACAATTCCAGCGAATGATCTGGCCACCTAGATCGCCCGACATGAATCCCATCGAACATTTATGGGACATCATCGAAAGGTCAGTTCGTGCCCAAAACCCTGCACCTTCAACACTTTCACAATTATGGACGTCTATAGAGGCAGCATGGCTCAATATTCCTGCAGGGGACTTCCAACGACTTGTTGAGTCCATGCCACGTCGAGTTGCTGCACTTCGCCGGGCAAAAGGAGGACCGACAAAATATTAGGAGGTATCCCATGACTTTTGTCACTTCAGTGTATACTCATCAGCTTACTAGGCTCGATTGATTTTCGTTGCCGAAGTAGGCAGGAGCAGAATTTGATGGCATAAAGCAGTTGCATGTTCAGATATTTTTAAAGGAAAGCGGAGACTTAAAATTAGGCAAAAGAGTAACCCTATTTCGGCGTAGATTTTAAATAAAACTCTGTTGAATTTTAATTAGTAAATTTCTATTGATTTTATAAACTCTAATAAAGTAATAACTCTTAATAAAACTTTATTGATTTAATAAAAGACTATTGATTCTGAGGGAAATAAGACACAGGTCCCTCTTCTTCAAGAGAAAATAAATCTTCAAATAAGAGAGGAACGACCCGTATTTGTTTCAAAAATATCTGTATTGTGCTCGACGGAGCACTAATGAAACATGAAAAATTAAGATATTTGAATTTTTAAATCTCTGTTATTCGTCTATTTTCTCCCTCCTTCCAGCATCCTCAGTGGTGTTCGGCGCGTATTCGAAAGGCCCAGGTTCGAGTCTCGACAAGGGCATTGTTCATTTTTCAAGTCTCCTGCTTTAAAAAAAAAAAAAAAAAAAAAAAAAAAAAAAAATAGATTTTAATGATTCCACACTTTTTCTATTTGAATGTGGATAGCTTAGTAGCTCTATACCTCCCCCTTTCCTTCCGGCAGTCCGACTTCCAATGCATATATACGTGCATATTGTCTTCCTAAGCAGCCCCTCCATATTTCCCGCTGAAACCACACTGTAAGTACTTTGTTTCTGCAGGCTGTGTACTTTCCATACTATGTACTAGTATTATTTTAAGCTTCATATGTTAGTTACTATTTTATTATTATATACAGGGTGCCCTCCAAAAAAATGGAAACATTTAAAACTGTTAACTCTCTACGTAACTATGAAGTAGGAACACCTTTGGTATCGACAGATACTTGAAATTCTTTTTTGAAATAGAAACATAAAAGTCTGAATAGTAATAACAAGTATTTTGTACCATTCCTTTACAAAAATTGTTTCAAATCTTTGAGATATACTGAGCGAAAACAAAAACGAAGGATCTCACTTTGTTCAAAAAGACAGAAAAGGCAAGGCATATATGTAATTTCATCTTTGAATACTTCAAAATATACAACTGAACGATCTGACTGGTGAACAGGGACATTATTCTCTTGCAAAGTATAGATTAGATTTATAAAAATGCGACTTTTTACACAATATGCTGGCTTTTATTTCTAATAGATTAATATATTCGAAGATACTGTCCTTAATAGTGTCTCACCTACAATGAAGAAATATCGTAATTATATTCATAGATATTACTATTATTTTTACATGATGGTTACTGATAATACTGTTTATAGTTTCTGCAACAGAACTCTTGATTCTGTATTGCTAATCTCTTTCATATTTTTTTCTAGATTGTTAGGAAGACTATGCGTAGGACGTGCAAGTGTCATGGTGTGTCTGGAAGCTGTTCTACACAAACATGTTGGATGAGAATGGAAGAGCTGCGTCATGTCGGCAACTATCTTAAAGAAGCTTACAAGAAAGCCAAGCGTGTCGAATACAATGATCATGGTTCCTTGCTGCCCACCAAACAGCGCAGAATGCGCAATAGGAACTCTATAACCTCCACGCCCACGTTAAAGGCTCCTCGCCACCGCCTAATCTATATGGAATCTTCTCCAGATTATTGTGAGGCCAATCTGACAGCTGGTATTAAAGGCACCAGAGGCCGACAATGTTCTCGAAGGAAAGGAAATGATGTTTCTCTTTCTGAACAGCAAAGCTGCAGGACTTTATGTCGTGAATGCGGATACAGAGTCCGCAAGAAAACTAAAAAAATGACAGTTAATTGTAGATGTAAGTTCAATTGGTGCTGCAATGTTCAGTGTCGAATTTGCAAAACTAAAATAAATCGACACATTTGCTACTAAACTTACATTTCATCGTATAGTGCTCCTGTAGACCAGGATCACCAGAGAAAGACAGTACCGATTCACAAATTTATCGGTGCAAAAAGGATTTAATAAATTTTTAGTTTATTTAATTTTTAATTATGAGAACATTTGATAAATCGCCAAAATATGTGATAATTTCATCAAAGATTCTCTATTTATGATCAAATAAATGGATAGTTATTGAATTGAAAAAGACTGAATTTTAAAAACAAAATAGAAACGAAATCTCTTTCTACTTATACAGATTGGCTATTCCTTACCTGTATATAATTCGTATTGTTCACTGCTATATTTAAAGACATTTTATAACAATCTTAAGATATTCATATTGCCTCGTGTGTCATGTTAAAGTGCTAATATTAGGCAAGAACTGCACTTGGTTTATAAAAGGTCTTACGGAGCATTTGTTCAAAAGTAAGACACAACGGATTGTCTTAGAATTCATATAAGGAAGGTCTTTTTGAAATCATTTGAAGATAATCGGAAAGATATGAAGTAATCTCCTGGAAAATATTTGGAACATGCCTTACTAATCGCAAGTCTTCGTTGCAGATCGCAAGTTTCCTTTGAAGACTTTGTCACGAAATCAAATGTTGAACTCTTTGTCATGAACTCTTTGAACGAATACTCAATTCTTTATCACGAGATTAAATGTTGGAGACTTTCACTGCATATAGAGAAAGAATCTACAAGTCTTGTACACTAACAGGAATAATTATGTGTATTTATCAGATAAGATTTATTACCAGCTTTCAGAGATATACAATTTTATGTGCAACAGACCTCTTTTAAATACGAAAATTACTTTTAATTTCAAGTAAGCTGCCCAAACCGTGTAGAGGTTAGAGGAGCTTACTGCAGTACCGAAGCCCCGGCTTTGAATCTCGGAGAAGGCATGGCTTTGTTTGTCTATCACTTCATAGGAGGTGACGGTGGCCCATCTAATTAGGTGCTTCCATAATAAAATGGCCACCACTTAGTACAGGCCAGTAAGTGCCTGCCAGTGGAGGAAAAAAATATTTCAATTAATTTATTTATTTCAGTTTAAAACATTTAAAAATTATCCTCAAAATTCTGAAGATTTCCTGGATGTAAGAGTTTTGTTTTCATCTTAGCCTTCTGGAATTATCCAAGAACATAGTATAAGGAACCTTTTCAGTGAGATTCTGAATTAGTTTTTCATTCATTACTATGTTTTTATTTATTTATTTGTTTACATTTTAAGGATTTTGAAAAAGACAAATACCTGCAAATGTCATAATTATGTTTTACATTCTTTGTAAGAGGTGATCGTGATATTTGATGCATTAAATTGTGGCTTATTTATTTTATATAATGAAGACTTTTTATGAGAAACATTTAATTTAAAATCTTAAATAAAACAATTGTTTAAAAATCGGTTTACATGCAGTGCAATTATGAAAACAGGACACTGAGTTTCTCGTTTTGTTCTAAATTTTCATTATATTAAAAGGTTTAATTCATCTTAAAAATAATAAAAAATTAGAATGGAAAATATTTTTAATTTTTCCGAAATGCTAATTTGGACATTTAATTTTAAAAAATCTGATGTGTACACCACATGACTTCCTTGTACGGAATATTAAATTATACGCATTTTTTCTTGCATTTCACTTAAACTTAATGGATTTAATTAAATCTACTTCGTCAATAGCGCATAAATCATAATAGAATAAATGCACTTTTTAAAATTCACTATATTTGTTTACCATAGCGATACTCTGGCGCTAGGTTCACTTAACGACGTTATATTTCGTTCATATTATAACTCAGAATGCACAAAATTTATATCATTTGAAGAATTATGTAATCGTTGCCATATGTTCTATTCAAATACTATAATAAATCTATAACGATGTATAAAAATTAAGCAAACAAAACTAAAAAGAAAACTTTTTTCCACAGACGATTCAGTATTTCTCATTCAATTAATTCAGTTCTCACTTCGCGACAAGACAAAAATACATAAAAACTCAAAATATCTATATTAAAAATTACGAAGTAAATCTTAAACACTTATTTCCTCGAAAAAATTCCAGAAAGGATTAAGCATGATTTAATTCGCAATAATAAATGAAGGCGTTATCTTTGTTGTTGCGAAGCTTAGTCTCTCTAGATTGGCAACAAATCTACTATTCTGCTGTTTCAAATGTAAACAAACATGTCCGCCATGTTATTTAAAAATTAGGCATAACCGCACTTGAACAGCTTTTAAACTGTTGATAATTGTACAAATATTGCTTGCAGATTTCCTAGAGGCATAAAAATCTTAACCGGAAGATAAGAACAACATAATTCCATCATTTTAAAGCAAAAAAATGCACGATTTACAAATATATAAGAGTAAAGAAAGATATCATTGAGCCGGGTAATAGAGTGAATATATATATAAATATATTTATATACGTTTGGTGCGGCCGATTGCTACTAAAATACGAAGTGCACATCTACATGTTATAGAGTCCTATATAAAAAATTTCAACGTTGTGAGGCTACTCATTTTTGAGTTATGCGAGACACATACATACGTACGTACAAACACCACGAAAAATTCTCTTCAGAATTCATTTTAAAGCGGTTTTATAATTTTTTTGTTGGAAAACAGTCTTTTATTCTGTCCTTACGTACAGATGTCACGCAAAAACATCGTTAAACTGCATTCGATAGCGGTCAAAATGGATATTTTCTTTGAAATATGCTGCCTGAAACTTTTCGTGATTACAATACTTCCTTTTTACTTCGTACAAGGAAGTAAAAACAGAGAGAGAGAAATTAAAAATTCATAAATTTAAAAATTGATGTAACTCAGGATTTCGTTCACAATTATTATATTTTCCAAACCTTTACTCATTATCTTACTTTAAGATTAATTAAGCAATAAAAATGTTAATTTCATATTTAAATTTAATTCTAATGCATTTTTATGTCAGTTTTGATTTAAGTAATGCAGCATTTTATCACTTTTCAGTATTGTTTAATATAACAAAAAAATAAAAAAAAGTTTTTAATGTGCATTATAAATAAAACCAAATATGAACCGTCAAGGCATTTCATCAACTATTTTCTGAGTTATAAAGCTTTAGATAATTTTAAACAAAAACAAACAAAAAAAAAAAAAAGAGAGAGAGCAAAGCTGCAAAGACTTCATTTATAGCGCTGAATGTATCTTCCCTTTAAGGGCAGAGAATAACCCGCAAAGCCATTTACAAAATATGTGCTGCTTATTATATTGCTATGAATATGACATCTAACATTTATTAACGTATTATTTTTATTAAATTTATGCATTAGATTTATTAATGTGTAGCGTCATTAGGTTATATCGATGCAGGAACGGGAAAAATGTGCAGTGCTCTAGGAGGAATTCGAACACCGGATCCCCCGCAATGCACCTCGAGTGTACTTCCACTTACTCCACGAAAATGTGCAAAATGAGGTAGAAAATACCTTATATACTTCCCCCTTTAAGCAGCAACTGGAGATTAGGGAACCCAGTTGCCAAGTCCTGGTGGTGACGAATTATTGTCCACCATGTTTTAGTTCGAGCGCCACTGACAGACTCATTTCGAATTTTTTCGATATCAGGAAGTTGAAGAAATCCGCAATGCCTTTGCGAGATTCGAACTCTGGACCTCCTGAATATGCATCTAGTGTGCTAGCAGTTATACCACGAAAGCATAAAGAAAAGAGGGAGAAAATACTTTGTGAATATACAAGCACTATTTTACTCTAAAAGTTAGAAAACCGATCTTTTACCGAATTTTGTTAAATTCCAGTACTGAGTTCACTTAAATTAATGTATCTTCTACCCTCTTAACACTAATTAACATTAAACAATTTTCTAAAATTAGAAATCGCATGGCACCATACATGGTTCGTCAAATAAATAACATTGAAACGAAATTTCAAAATAGTTTAGCATGATTGACTTTCTATGAAATAGATCAAAGAAATTCAAGAAGAAAACTAAATATGTTAAGAAGAAAAAGAACAAATAAAAAACCTGAGAATGATCAAAACATTCAATATCTAATCTTACTTCCGGTTAATTTTATAAATGCATTTCTTACTCGAGCAGAGTAGTCCCGGATAAAATGTTTCTCATTTTAGCTTGGTTAAGAAAATATACTAATTTTATGTTGCGGTTAAGAACATGTGCTATTTTAAACAATATTTCCTTCATGAATAGAAAAAAAATTATGAAAAATTATAAAGATATTTTGTAGTTTATCTAGTATCTAGATAAGTTTATCTAGTAAATTCTGAACTTGTTTTTCCCGTGAATGCAAATTTTCAAGTTTAAGGTTTCATTATTGTTTCTTGCTAGAAACATAATTCGTTTCCTCTTACATTTAGTCATTCAGTATACGTAAAATGTATTTATCTGGTCTCAACACATTGTATACGATTTTCATATGATTTATTATTTTTTCGAGATTTCGTTTTAGATAGATGTACTTTTATAGATTTTTATATTCTATACATTCACTAGCTAAAATTGCTCTACATTAATATTTATGTTTATGCTAGAGTCTGTATGTTTGTAAAAAAAAAAAAAAAGAATGGAAATAAATATGTTTTATTTTTTGTATAAATTTTGTATATATATTTTAAAATACATAGTTGTATTTCTTACTTTCAAATGCTAAAGAAATTAGATGTCATAACCAAGATCTTCAGTGGAATACAACCGAATTTGCTAAAGTTTAAATCCCAAATTATAAAACACAGTGAAACTTCTATTATCTTGCCACCTTAATCAGATATGAGTAGTTGATAAAAAAGATCCATTTTTCATGCAATACATTATACATGATACACACATTTAATACAATACAATATAGATTAAAAACAAGTTCTACATTAAAAACTGGTATTTGTTATTTTCTCAGCTTGATTACTACTAAACACAGTAAAACTATAGTATTTAATATAAATTCAAAACTCTAATCTGGCTAGAGCAAGATAAATATAAAATTAATTTTACTTTTCTACAGTGCTTTAATATTCAGCGCTCACTCATGTTACTATATACAACATTTTTTAATCTATTGCAGTAGTCAAAAGGTATATGTATAAAACTCAATCACAACAGTGCGTAACAAGGCAGTTCGTTGTTCTTTCGGGTACATTTTATGATAACTGAGTATAATAAAAATTCATAAGTTACTGAATATTGTATTTCACAGAATCTGTAAGGTAATTAGAAAAATTTTCAGTGTAGTTTCGTTTATTAGTACACAGACGTGTAGCCAGGGAAGTTACCATGGGCGCTCGACACCTATCCCACATCTTCAAATTATATAAAATCTCTAGCAATTTTGAAAAATTCTGATGCACAAAAATTATAATTTTTTTAAAAAACATTATAGAATCATTAGATTATTTTGAAGCGCTCACTGGGACTCGAACTCTGGAGTGAGCGCTTTTCGAGTCCCAGTGAGCGAAGTAAATTTAATATCTATAACCCAATTTAATGCCATTTTAAGAAATTCAGTTGTAAATAATTCCTTTAATCCTGCTCCTTAATATAAGGGATTTAATTTGAAATTACAAAGGCCTATATTAAAAGTTTTAGTTGTCTTTTATTAATTTTAATTTTCCGTCCTTCAAGAAACAGTTTAGTTTGGTTTAGTGGTTTAAATGGCGCATAACCTGGAAAGGTTATTAGGGCCAGACGCATGTTGAGAGTACACAATTAAAACACGAAACAATTAAGCAGAACACAAATTAAACATAACAGACATATAAAATCAGCAGAAGTAATAAAATCATGAATATTTAAATGAAGTTACTCATGATCTATATAAAAATACGAAATGTGAAGCAGTGACTCATGATTTATATAAAATATGAAATGTGTGTTTAAATTACATTAAAATACAAGGGTATTACCAAATTAGATTATAAAAACCTGTTTCTTTCAAATATTGAAATAAATTAGTATTGACCTCTTTCCCGATTATTCGGTCGAGAAGCAAGTCAGAGTTTTGAACAAAATTTGAAGAAAAAGAAAGATAGTTAAAGCAAATTTATAAAGATGTTTAAAATCTATATATAACTACATTACTTCAAACCAGCCATTTAATTTTATTTTGGATGTAGACTATAATTATATCGAGATAAAGTTCGAAATTTTGAAATCGACTGGTAGAAACATATTTTACACATACCACTCATTCTATAATATTACACTTGTTAAAAAATTTGTGGGTATGTAGAGAAACTCCTTTACTCTGTCGAGTATTTCCTCGACTAACGAGCTGAACTCTTTTCAGAAATCCTGATACCTCACTGTAAAGCAGCGGTTCTCAACCTTTTGACTATCACGTGCCATCTAAACAAAAATTGAAAAATTTTTAATAACACCGCTATATTTTACAATGATTATTTTTCAGTTTCTCAAAAGAAATGTTAAAAAAAAAATGTAGATATTTTATACCATTTGCACAAACCTATTGGCTATTAGTATTAAATATGCACACATAAACAATATTAGACTAAAAATTAGTTATCATTTTAATTATCAAAATTCAAGTTATAATACT